TCCAGAGGATGCTGAAGTTGGGGAAACAACCAAAAGTGAATTTGGACTGGTCAGGTAATGGTGAATTTAAGTGATCCCCTTATGGTCTGATTGCTCTTGGCTTAGAGATAACTCTGACCTAAGAAGCATACAGAGAAATGATATGATCAATAGCCAGAGCCTACAATAAAGATTGAGAAAAACAAGCCATAAAAGTTTGGCTTATAATGAGACTAGAGAATCTGTCCAAAGTGAATGGTGGTTTCTTTTGAGAGGCCCTCCGAGTGTAGATATATTTCAATGGGAGGCAATGGGGAATGTTATTTATGTGAACTGAGCTCAGTTTCCCCCAGGCTAGTCTTTTACTTAGGATAAAAAATCTGCTTTCTGCAAAGTGAGGGTTTATCCTAAGAAAAATTATATTGATCTCTCTCTCCTAGCCCTATGAATTCTCCTCTGCCTTTCTGATGGAGATAGAACAGAGTTCTTTCCTTCTTTTTCTTTCTTTCTTTTAAAGATTTTATTTATTTATTTGAGAGAGAGAGAGAGAGCATAGAGGGAGAGGTAGAAGCAGACTCCCTGCTGAGCAGAGAACCCAATGCGGGGCTCAGGACCCTGAGATCATGACCTGAGTCAAAGGCAGACGCCCAACCAACTGAGCCACTCAGGTGTCCCTCCTTCTTTCTTTCTTTCTTTCTTTCTTTCTTTCTTTCTTTCTTTCTTTCTTTCTTTCTTTCTTTCTTTCTTTCTTTCTTTCTTTCTTCCTTCCTTCCTTCCTTCCTTCCTTCCTTTCTTTCTTTCTTTCTCTCTTTCTCCTTCCTTCCTTCCTTCCTTCCCTCCTTTCAAGACCAACACTGTATGTTTATTCTCTACATCTCCCTGTCACATGTTTGAATTAGGGATCTTGGGGAATTTGTTTTTGCCTCTGCCTATTACTTTGAATGTAAGGGGAATCAAAAGTCAAAAGAGCTCTAAAGATTCCAAGTGTCTCTTTAAAAGCTGTTACATGAAAAACAATGAAATGGAGGGCACCACAATAATTCTTGGGTTCCTGCAGATCCTAAGATGTGCTACAAAATTTTTGTGCTACAAAATTTATCCTTAGGAAAATATCGTCAGAGCTAGCTTTCTTAATGCTATACCGGAAACCTTAACATCACAGGCAGTACAGATAGTTTTTGAATGATCTTCAAATAAGCACAAGCCCACTACGTTGAAAAGAACAGGTAATTTGAGGTTTTTGGCAAAAGACGGTACACATGTAATCCAAATCAAAGAGCCTGCAGACAGTTTTCAGTGAGATGAAAGGAATGAAATAACAGAATGAAATAATATAAATTTGTTGGATAGGGGCGCCTGGGTGGCTCAGTCGTTAAGCGTCTGCCTTCAGCTCAGGTCATGATCCCAGGGTCCTGGTATCGAACCCCACATTGGGCTCCCTGCTCGGCAGGAAGCCTGCTTCTCCCTCTCCCGCTCCCCATGCTTATGTTCCTTCTCTCGCTGTGTCTCTCTCTGTCAAATAAATAAATAAAATCTTTTTAAAAAATTTGTTGTATAATAAGTGTAAGATAATTTAAATAAGCTAACAGAACTAATTTTTTTAACATAAAAATACCAGTCAGGTACAAGCTTTTGTTTCTTAATGCCAGACTTCTAAATGTGGATCAGACTACTGTTAACATCATTAAAAATTCCCAGAAGAATTGGAGTGTCAGGGAAAGAAGGATGGCCACAGCAGGAAGGACCATGGTCCAGTGTTCTGGCTCCTGAGCTATGAATGTGGGCACGGAAAACCAAGCAAGGTCCTATCTGAAGCAGAAGGGCTTATTGGAGAAAAACCATGAGTGCTGTTGATTCAAATTCCTGTCTTACCACTGACAAGTTTTGTGTCTTTGGCCAGTTAGGTAGTGAACATGTACTAAGTGTTGGTTCACATTATCATTATTCCTGAGATAGATTTTGTCCCAGGATATGGGGCAGAGCCAAAGCTAATTCTAAATGACCCTTTTTCAGAAGACGATAGCAATGCAAAAGTAAGGACTTAAGTAAACCATGGAACCTTCTGCTTTTAAACTAGAAAATATGAAAAAGCTCTGAGAACTGATACCTACTTCTGGAAGTTTCTGAACTTAAGAAAAGATTAAGCTTAAATTAAGATTGAAGTTTCCTGTCATGGTCTTCCCTTATGTAAAATAGTTTACATGCAAAGGTCAGTTCAAAACACATTCGTCAGTAGGGCATAGTTCAGCCTGAGGCCTCAACAACCAGATTTTCTGTGTTCAAGTTCCATCTGGATCATTATCAGTTAGGTGATCTTGCCAAGTTATTTAAGATCTCTGGGCCTCAGTTCCCTCACCTGTAAAATGTAGATGACTATAGAATCTACTTTGGAGGATCAATATAAGGAATTGTAAAGCACTTACAACAGTGCCTGCCTACATAGCAAGTTACCCATTATTACAATTGTGGTTAATTTCCACATAAGAGACACAATGATAGATAAGGCAAGGTGTCTGATCCTAAAGGAGTTTCTGGGCTAGTGAAGAAGACAGATTCAAAAGCAGAATTCCAATAAAAGGTACCAAGTGCCACAGTGGCTTAACCTGCCACTGGATATAATGGGGGCAGAGAGAAGAGGTAGCTAATTCAACCTGGGAAGCCTTCCAGGAGGAGGGAATACCTAAACTAAGTCTTCAAAGATGAGTAGATGGCAAGGTTCTAGTGGAATCTTTGGAATCTTTTAGCCAAAAAATATTTCACCCAAAATGTGAACAAATAAAATCCTTTCTAAATGTCTTAACTGATTTTAATAATAGTAAACATCAAGCAGATTAAGAGAACTTGATCATATCAGTTGGAAAAGAAAAAAAGCTAAGAGTAAATTGAGCCCAGGAAAAAGGGATTTGTATTTATAGTCCCAAGAGAGAATAGCATTGCCTAATATATAGCATTAAACCGATTGTCCCAGGTGGGAAAAAGAGAAAAAAGTAAACTCTTTCCATGGAAGAGAGAGGGTTTGGATTGAAACTCCTTTTCTTCTGATCCTTTTTTAAGGAGATCCTTCTTTGTGTCATATTATCATCCACATGCACAAAATAAACACGCATCATGGAGCATCTGCCCTTTTTAAACAAACTGGTTTTGTAAGAAAAGCTGTAATGAAGTGTCTCTTCCCAGGACCTCCTAGCCTTTGTAAATGATGATGATGATAGTAATAAATATTGTTAACTAATTAATTATTATTAGCTAACTTATTTTTATTCATGGCAGGAAGTATAGAGACTCTGAAAGTAAAAATGTGGGGCTCAAGTTGTTGACAAATCAATGACAAAACTGGGAATTAAACTTCTGTGATCATGTCTCAAGCCCTTAGAAGGACCTCCAACAGTGCAACTACTAACCTAATCCCCCTAAGAGTTACCCCATGAATCCCAAGTCTTTTCATGGGTTATGAATTTTTTTATTGATCAGGGAAGCTATTGGTATGTGACCCTTTGATACTCGCATATTATTTTCCAGATTCCAAAGGAACTTTCACTTACCTTTTATTTCCCTAACATCAGAGATTCCCAGCCTCTCTGAGGATGAGAATTTCTTTTTAATGTAACAAAGTTTAGTGCATCCTCACTTGATTGCACTTGTTCTTTTGTATCTGTTAGTGAAAAAACTTAACAGAAACTTGACAACAAATTATCATGAATTCAGTAATTTTAAGTGTGTATTTTATTGTTCATAATATACATTTGAAAAATAGTAGCACATGTATGTGGAGAATAATTTTAGCTATAGATGATGCTTGGAGAGGGTATGGATGCAAGACAACCCCCCTACATTCACTGAAGCCCTTGCTGATCAGGGGTTCTGCAAGTCATTATCAGGTGAAATTTCACAGAAATTCATAGAAAGGTCATAGAAAGGTTACTTTAAATACATAAATGTAGCTAACCAAGGAACGGTGTATTTCAAAAGCTGCCTTAAAACCCAAAGATTTTCAATAAATTCTTGCTCTACCGCAGAAAAGAAACTGACTCTGTTTAAATGCTTTGGAAAGAATGAGAGCAGAGCCATAGTTAACCTCTGTGTTCCAGTGCATCTTTCTGATTTGGTCATCAAGTTGGGCGGGTGGAGGAGAGAGAGAGAAAGGAGAAATGGGCAGAATTGGGCAAAACCTAGGATCATTATGAGACATCATTTGAAGTAAAATGAAGGCAACAGTTAAGGAAAAACGTGTTCCAGGCCCATTCATGCCAGATGAGTGAGTGTACTGGAAATGAAAAGTCAAATTGGCTCATCTCTGGCCACCATTATAACCATCACTATCTGCTTTTTTGGGGGGGAGCCATTGGGATTAAGGAAAACAGATTCAAAGAAAATATTTTTCTCCAGTTACTAAAGGAGAATTCTCAGGAGTGTCCCAACAAGAAGAAACGGTGGAGAATGCTTTTTAAAAAAATTTCCAGTCATCTTGCCTTGAGAACCCTAGTAAAACTACATGTTGTAAGTGAGTGTCATCTTTATTTCCTCCTTTCAAGCCCAAGAGCTTCTGTTGATGGACTTTTTTGACAGTAATTTCAGGCAAGCCTACAATTGAACAGCCAAGCAGAAATTGTGGTTCTCTATTTGTTAAATGCTTTTGAGGTCCTTACATAAAAGGCTGATAATGAAGTATTAAGAGAAGCATCTGAAAGGCTGTGGTTGGTCAAATTTCTCTGCATGGCACAAAGGGGAAGATGACCTTATGCAGAACCCTGATAGTTCCATTATAAGAATAATCAAGACTTAATGTTAAATGTAAAAATCACTCTTCAAATGCTACCAAAAGCAGACCCTTGGCGAAGTGTAAATGTTTAATTCAAATTAGGGCTTACAGAGAAAAAGCAATTAAAATCTCATTGCATTATACAGGAGATTTGTACATTTTCTCCTCAAAGTCAGGCAAGGCGAGAAGGGGTTCTTAAACCCTGTTTTTAAATTAGAACTTTCTTTCACATCTCTTTTTTCTTTTTTCTTTTTGAATCCAGACACTTGAATTTGGACAGACAAGCAACCCAGCCACCTTTCAGTGTGGCTCTGTCAGTATTGGAATGAAATGAACATGACCCCCTCCAGCAGGGAAGGAACACACAGTAAAGGTATTTTTTACAGAACAATTCTTCACACTGCCCTGGTGACTGGGGAAAGGAATCTCGTGTTTCTCTTTTGCTGATACTGAATCAGCTGAAGAATACCATGAACATCAGTAGAAATGCTCTGAAATAGTCTCCGCTCCCTTTTGTCTTTTTGTTCTCATGAGAGGAAAAAAGAGAGACTTTTTTTTGAACGTGAAATATTTAATTAAAATGCCAGTTAAAAATTGACCAATTATTTGGTAGTTCATTTCGTAATTGGAGGTGTTGCAAATGACTGCCTTGACTTGCAAATCATTGTATAAATTTGGCGTATTTCTTAACCAGCTCTCTCATAAAGATGGCTATACTAGCTTATGATAAGAATACGTTCTTGGCACAGGAAGCTGATTTCAGCAAAGAAATCCCTATCCTTGCTTCATCAACAGTTTATGTAGCAATTGGATTCATACCTTGGTTAAATGGTCACAATGCAAACTGATAAAGAAAGAGACTGAGCTTATATATCTCAGTATATCTCCAAACACCCTAGCAACCTGCACTTCCCAGGTCTTTCTTTTGTATTTCATTGCGTAGTTACTTGTTAACATTTCCGTGTATAGATACTTTATGTGATTTCCAAGAGCTAAACAAAACTGACAATAATATCACCTATCATTTGTGAGGTGGTTTATAGTTTCCAAAGCACTTTCACCAACATTGCCTCATTTCCTGAGCAATTTAGAAATGTTTGTAAATTGTATACATTACATAAATTTGTAGAAAGTTTAGATTTCTAAAATATTTTATCTCAAATATGTTTGTTAACCCAATACCAACTCAACAGATCAAGCTAATTTTTATCTCTAAGACACAATGATGTGAGTAGTTACTTGAAATATTCTGAAAAAAGTGAAGTCAGAAAGTGCAAAGTAAGATCCCATTGAATTTTGTCTCCAGCCTTCACCTCAAAGATCAGATTCAAACACAGTAGAACTTGCTTTGAACCACCTTCCTTTTCTCCACAATGCTGACATCAGGATTTGGTAAAAAAAAAAAGGGGGGGGGGGGCTACTGTCCATTTCTCCCAAAACCACTTAGAATATTTGTGGTACAGCAATTTATTAATCTATTTTTAAATCTATTATTTTATTAGTCAGGGTCCTAAAGATTTACTGAAATCAGCCATAAATTTAGGAAGAGCCCCCTACTCCATAGACAGTTTTTCCTAGGAGAGATCCCAAATCTTCCTACATTTCGGGAAATGAAAAAGAGCTCTCTCCCATATATTACATACATTTACCTAGTCCCAGTTCCAGGTAGGAGTCCAGGTTACTTACCAGGTGTAGCTGAGTCGGAGGATACAGGTGAAAAGGAAGATACACACAGAAGGCTTCGTAAGCAACATAATCCTCTGGCGCAACAGAGATAGAAAATTCTAAAAACTTGGGAGACAGACAAGATGGGGAAATATACTCCTCAGTGGTAGTGGGATGGAATTCTCCTCAAGTCCCAACTTTCGTGGTGTGTAAGCGATCCCAAACAGAGTTAAGGGGAGGTGAAATGGAGCTGCCAAACTTCCAAAGAAGAGATTATCTACTTAATTAAAGTTTTTTTTTTCCCCCTTCTAAGTCCTTCAGCCAATCAGAACTCAAGTGCCAGAGAAAGATTGAGTCGATCAAAAGAACACTCCAGGATCCTCCCAGACAAATGCAGAAGAAGGAGACGAGGAAAAGGGGACAAAGCGAGGAACACGGAGAAAGAGGACAAAGAAAGAAGGGGGGGAGGAAAAGAGACATAGCAAATCCCCTCCACATAATCACCGCTTGGGGTTTCTCTCCTCCCTCTTGCCTATGCCCTCCCGCCCCACCACAACCTCCCCCACCCACGCACACTCACCCGCAGACTCAGACACACAGGGAGGAGAGCCTGGTCCCCAAGGGGATTTAGAAGGGACTGTGCTTTCCCGGTTGTCCTTTGTAGGGCTTTGAGCCTTAATCTGCATTCAGAGTAGCTTTCTTCAGAGAAAAATATACCATGCACTGGGTGAACCTCAGCCCTCTGATTTGAGAATGTGGGGGATTCAATCCAACCACCTCTGTAAGTTAGAAAGAAGCTTGGGCTACTTTAGGGAACCTGATGGTTTCTTCCTTTCAACTTTTCCATGGAACACTTACTTGTTGAACACCTATTACATTCTCAAACCGACGCTAGGCATCATGGACATTTTAAAAAGACAAAACATGATTTCTGTCCTCGAGACATTTATAGCCCAGTAAGGTGGTAATATAAGAATGTAATTTAATAAGGTATTAAGTTGCTTCAAACTGACTATAAATCATATAGGCTTATTTAGGGAAGGTTTTCTAAAGAGGGTAGAATTTGAACTTAAAATTCATAAATTTAGGAAGAGCCCCTACTCTTCCTAAAGGGTAGAGATTTCAGTAGGCAGCCAAAACCCTACCCTCTTAAAACTCTGGTGGTGAAACAAGTAGGGCACTGAAGCTTCTTGCTCACACATCTCTGAGTTGCTGTCCCTTTTGTCCGCTAGAGAGGAAGGGTCACCTCAGTCACAGTTCTGGGGTTCTCAAAGGGCCCCCAGCTTACTTGCACGTGGCCACATCTCCTGGACTGGCATCCACATCGCCTTTCCTGAGGGCTCCCCAGAGGCAATGGTCTATCTTTGTTCTCTTCCTTTTATCCTTGTTGCTGGCTCTTCAGAACCCTTTCCAGCCAGGTCTACACGGGCAAACTCAACTGGAAAAGAATTATCAGATTAATTCATTGTCAGATTATTCAGGCTGGATGATTGAGGGCTCTTGACCTGAGTATTTTGACTGACTAATTTGTTGTCCACCTGGAATCTTCCAGACCAGGCCTTTATTTGTGATTCCTAAGTGTGACATAAGCTTAGTAGATTTTGACTTCCACTCAACCTTAGGTCCTTCGTTCTCTCTTCTTTTCCCCCTCAGCTTTATTGAGGTATGATTGACAAAAATTGTATACATTTAAGGTGTACAATGTGATGTTTTGATACATGTATGTATTATATTGTGAAATGATTGCCACAATCAAGTTAATTCACACATCTATCACCTCACATGGTTACTGTGTGTGTGTGGTGAGAAAATTTAAAATCTGCTGTCTTAGCACCTTTCAAGTACACAATACAGTATTATTAACTATAGTCCCCATGCTGTACATTTGATTGCCAGAACTTATTCATCTTACAACTAAAAGTTTGTACCCTCCTAGATCTTTCTGTCCTTTATCATTCAGAAAGGGAGCAGCCAGGGGCACCTGGGTGGCTCAGTCATTAAGCATTTGACTCCTCAGATTCCCGGTTTGAGCTCAAGCCTCTGACTCTCCGTTTAGGCTCAGGTTGTGATCTTGGATTTCTGGGATGGAGCCCCACATTTCTTGGCTCAGAGGGGAGTCTGCTTCCCTTGGTTCAGCGGGGAGTCTGCTTCCCCTCTCCGTCTGCCCCCCCTTCTCTCTCTCTCTCAAATAAATAAATAAATAAATCTTTAAAAAAGAAAGAAAGGAAGGAAGGAAGGAAGGAAGGAAGGAAGGAAGGAAGGAAGGAAGGAAGGAAGGAAGGAAGCAGCCAAGTCTATTTAAGACCTAGAGTCAAGTCCTAGGAAGGTAAAGAGTAATGACTCCTGAATTTCAATCTTGACTTCTTCCCTGACAACATTAGGGACAAAGTTCTTTCCATTTACTTGACTAGGGAATTAATTCCCAGGGGATAGAAAAAACTTATAGGAGGTAGAACACACTTGGGTGATTTTTTTGTGAAAAAAGAGTTAATTTAAGACAAGTTTCTTGATGCACTCCCCCACTATCTCAGAATTTTTTCCCACAAAGGGAAAATTTAATACCCTTATCTTTTGTACAAAATTAATGCATTCGTATTGTAAAATTTTAAACATGACAAAAATACATAAGGAGTGCAAATCCTCTTTGATGACCCACCTCCTACTCTGCAGTCCAGTATAACAACTGCTAAGTTTTAGATGATCTTATAGGTTTTAAATTATGCATGTATGAATATAAATATCTATATAAAATTTTCACCAAAATGGGATTATATAGATTATATTTTGCAAGTTGCTTTTCTCATTTAATAATATATTTTGCAGCTTTCTATATTAGGGCCTAAAGATCTCTCTTTTTTTTTCCAAGGAGGAAGATTATATAAATTGTCAGGTGTATAAATTGTCAGCACCCTTGTTTTGCAGAATATTTGGGTTGTTTTCAGCTTAGCAAAAGAATTGGCAACTTTTAATTTATTCCAATTTGGACTTAAGTGTTGCTGGGGGTTTTTTCATGGTTATATTTTATTTTATTTTTCTTTAAGTGTTGCTGCTTTGATCACCTTGATACTGGAGAATAGAGTTATCTCAGTGTCTTAGGTACAATGGGTTATATATAAATTTATGAGTTCCATAGTACTTCATGTTTGTTTTCAACTTTAGAACCTTCTATTTTTTTTTCTTTTTGTACCTCTTAATCCCCTTTACCTATTTGACTCTTCCCCCCACTCCCCTCCCCTCTGACAACCACCAGTTTGTTCTCTGTATTCCTGAGTCTGTTTCTGGTTTGTTTGTTTGTTTGTTATGGGTTTTTATAATATTCCGTTTTGAAAACTGAGATATAATTGACATATAACCTTGTGTAATTTTAATGTGTACAATGCGTTGGTCTGATACATTACAATCTGATTACCATTAGCTAACACCTCTGTCACTTCACATAATTATCATTTCTTCTTCATGGTGAAAACACTTAAGATCTAGTCTCTTAGCAACTTTGAGGTTTATATAATTTTCTCAATCTCTCATCTTCTCTAAATCCTATGACTGGAATTCCCTCTTGATGACCTCAGATAGAAGGCTCTATGTAAAAACAAACTGCACTTACGTAATTCCTCTAAAAATGAACTACATTACATTACTTAATAACTTTTAATATTATAGATATTTGAAACAAGATGTTTTTAGGTTTCCTGGAATTTTATACCAACA